AAAAAATCGCTAATTACAATTTGAAGAAATCTATATATAGATTTTTCTTTTTTTCAAAAAAAATACCTGATGTTTTATTATTTATCTCATTCTCATATATTATTGATATGAGTCCAATCAGTTGAGTATTTAGTCTATACAGGTGAGAAGAGTACTCTTATGTATTCACGCATTTACTCAACAACTAATTATATATATATATACATCGACAAATAAACATTGAATAAAGAAAAAAATAAGATGGTACTTGTCAATATGATGATGGATTCTCTAATCGTTTAATAGGCAAGATAGCTAGCTTGTCGATATAAGAATTCACTCGAAAAAAAGAAAAAATAATAATGTTTGTCCTCTTGAAAAATTCTAAAGTATATATATGTATATATAAAATAATGAAGCTAATCATAGAATAAAATTAATTATTATTATTAACTTGATTATATTATATCATTAAATTGAACATGTTTAATATGATATTCAACTTTTTTTTTTTTTTTTTATTAATTACATATCATAATTTCAAAAAAAAAAAAAAAAAGTATGTCTATTAATTATTTTCTAAATAAAACTTATCAAACATGTATGTCCTGAAATAGCCAGGACAACTATCCGCTTCTTTCTGATGTGACATATATATATATATAAACCCGCCTCTCTCTGTCATAAAAAAAATCAAACAAATCTATTTCCGTATGTATATGTTTTTTGAAAATTGAAAAAGTGAGAGGGGGGAAACAAGATGACGAAGGTAGAATAGGTTGGACGCCACTTTTCATTTTTCTATTTCGTCGATCTCCCGTTGAGTGCGCGCTATATTTTTTTGCGAATGACTTAGCATCGATCTAGAAACACGTGTGTATAACAATTGCATAACTCCATAGGAGGATGACGACGAAATATATTTAACAAGTAGCTACTTGAATCAATTGCTTTTTTTTCCTTATGATTATAAATGTTAAAGAAAAACTCTATCTTAACTAGCTTCAATTATCACTGCGTTATTTTTGCTTTTGTTACATGAAGAAAACATGGCTTATAAATAATACCCACCTACCCTATTGATATATTTATATAATTAATTGTAGTGGCGAAACCAGGATTTTAACGGTGGAGGGGCTTAGCCCCACCTGGCCACCCACTGGTTACGCCAATAATTAATTAATGCTTGAAAGTAAAAAAAGAAACGTGTGAATAACGATAGTAAAATCTTTAATGTTGAAAAAAAAATATGACCTGGATATTGTCTATTAGTGAGAAAAACAAAAAGAATAATAGAACAAATCTATTCTAATAGTTGTTTGACTTTCTTTTTTGTCTTCTCTTCAATTTACTTGCTTTACTTGTGTTTTAAGTGTTTCTTTGTCTTTCGGGCATCATCATATCTATATTTTAAAAATGAATGCCATAGGCAATCTATAAGGTATAAATTGAATGCAAAAAAAAAAAAGAAAATAAACCATTTTAGAAAGTGAATGTTTCTTTCTTAATTCCATCAAAGCAAAATGAGAAAGCATCATCATTAAATTTGTTAAATACATTTCAATTATAATTAACACGTGCTAAATATAAACTATTACATCAGTGATTTATTTGAAACAAAATAAAATTTGTCCTTTATTGTAACTCTTTAACTATTTGGTTTATTTCGAACAAATATTGACATATACGATATGTATGTGAAAAAAAAAGAGATGACATTTTTTTTTTCTTTTGCTTTCATTTAGTTGTCGTTGTGCCAACATTTCATCCACTTGTTGTCTCTATCCAGCTGCGTCTACCACTTCAAAATGACATTGAGAGTATAGGCCCGTTTTTGGTCTCGGACGACAACGATGATGATGATGATTGAATTTAACATGCAAATAGAATTAATCAGATCCAATAAAAAAAAAAAAAGATAGAAACTCGACTTATTTCTTTTTTTTGCTTTCTAAAAAAAAAAAAAACAATTGGCCAAAACACAATAAGAAGAAAATTGCACGACAAAAAAAAGAGAAAGAAAGAATCAAAATAGAAAAGTTCTTTTTTTTTTTTTTTTTTTCTTTGAAATAATTTTTGTTTTATATAATTAACGTGGTTCATGTTTAAGTAAATGAAGTGATGGATGATGATGTAAATGATGTGCATGATGAAGACGTTGATGTGTAGATGAAATTTGTACTTGTGGATGAAACATATTTGTTTGTATTTGTGAATGATGTTGATGAGGATTATTTGTTGATATAGGTTGTTCATCACCACTATCAATACAATTATTATTACCACCTTTTTCTTTTGCTGCTTTTTTTGTTTTATATCGATGATTTTGAAACCATATTTTAACTTGTGTTGATGTTAAATTTAATGAATGTGCTAATTGATCACGATCTTGAGCATTTAAATATCGACTTTTATCAAAACGTTTTTCAAGTTCCATAACTTGTTGTTGTGTAAATAAAACACGACGTTTACGTTTTGGTGCAAATGCAAATGGATGATATGCTGATTTTAATGGATCCATCATAGCTGTAGCCGATTGATACATATCATATTGTGATGGTGTTTGTCCAGTTAATAAACGTGTCACTAGAATAGAAAAAAAGAAAAGGTTGGGTTTTTTTTTTTTTTGTTTTTTAAATTTGTTACTTGCAAATCTTGGATCCGTACAAGGTGTTGGTTGATACCATGAATTAGTTGATGTATTATTTGGATTTATTGGTGATGTTGATACAGGATTTGTTGTCATTGGATTATTTGTTGTTGGTGGACGATATGTTGGTTGACATAAATAATCTGAATATGTACGTGCTTGACTTGAAAAATAGGATGTTGCAGCATCAGAATAAAATGGATATGGTACACCTGTTGGTGAAAAATGACTTGCAAATGAATTTTGATATATTGTTGGATCAAATGATGATATTTGTGATTTTTTTAAATTATTATTATTATTATTATTATTATTATTATTTATTGGATATGTTGAACAACCATCATCAAATGTTGGAAAAAATGGATCATATGTTGTTGTTGATGATGGTAATGATGATAGATTAGGTGTATCATCAACATTATTTGTTGATGATGATGATGTTGGTGGTTGTTGAACAGTTGATGATATAGGTGTTGATCTTGATGGTGGTGATGATGAATCGTATGACATGATATTGAACTATCCTGAAACATGGTTTTTTTTTTGTTTTATTTATTTATTTTTTTTTTTAAGGATGATTTGTTGTATGAATATTATTGAAAATAAAAAAAAAAATGACGATAAAGAAAGAAAATGAAATGCGAGAAGAAAAAAGAGAGAAAGAAGAATTGGCCACTTACCGTGTTCGAACGAAGGCGTGCGGGATGAGAGATGCTCTGAGAAGGCTCTCAGAAGGCTTTCGAGATCGATTGAAGAGGTTCGACTCCACTCACGACACGGGCAAATATGTGCGTGTGTATATGTGCTACTTATTCGTTCTCACTCTTTTTCTCTCTACTTTTTTTCTTTCTTTTTTTTTTCACATATACAAAAGAGAGCTCTTGTCTACATATTGAGAATAATCATTTCCTTTTTCTCTTTCTATCGTTTTTTTTTTTTGTCTCTCTTTTATATTCTTTGATTTTCTATTGGTTAACAAATGAATAGATTTTTATTGGTTGATGTAAATAGAAGAAAAAAAAGAAAAATCTCTGATGCTTATCAAAGATTGTAAATCAACAGTAACAGAGATTTGTTTTTTTTTTTACACATTGGTGACAATTAGTCTTCTCATCGATTGATTATTGTTGAGACTGATGTGTGGAGAGAATACTTCAGTTGAATCGTAAAACAAAAATGATATATATATATATATACATAAATTCTCATAGTAGACATGTAACAAATCAGTTCTAAAATTGATTATTGATATGTGAATAAAACACCCGCAGAGAAAATAAAAAACAAAGAAATTTTATTAATTATTTTCATAATCAAGTAAGAAATTTAAGTGTATAAAATTAACAAAAAAAAGGAAGAAAAAAAAAAAACCTAAATAAAGTAACATTTTATTGTAGACATATAATTGCTTGAGGACATAAGTATATATCTTTTTTTTTTTGACGTTCTGTTTTGTTTCTATAGAAATATACTACTCGGATTTCCTTGCCATTTTTTTTTTCAATAATATAAATATAGAATTGAATGAAGAATAAAAAAAAAAAATTTGTCCTTAACATTAATATTTTAAATTTATTTTTTGAAAATTATGTGTAAATAAAAAAAAAAAAAAGATTTTGTCAATGTGGTCTCAAAAATATTCTTGTTTAATCATTTTTATACTATGTGAGATTTTATATATGACATAAATTTGAGGAGTTTACATATTTGTTTTTACACTCTTGACATTTCTTTCTTTTATTGATATATTTTCTCGACATTTTAACCACTTCAATTCGATCCTTAATACAAACTTTCCCTTCTCTCTTTATTTCACTTTTTTTTGTCTTTTATTTCTACCATCTCTATAAATCAAGAAAAGTACTCTTATAGAAGGATTTAAAATTCACTTGAGAAATTTTAATGTTTATCTCATATTTGAATAATTTGAAATTTCTTTTTTGTTTTTAATCATGAAATATATATATATATAGTAGATTCTTATTTTGTAAAAATATATATGTATAATTTGAAGAAGATGAATATGATGTCCATAGAAAAAACAAATACTTGAATTGAAAAGCAAAGAGCACTCGGCTATGTCAAGATGTATAGTCTGATCTTCATCATTATGTGAACCTAAGACAAAATTTTTCTTTTAAATAAATGGTATCTTGTTTTTTTTTTTTCTTGTCTTTTCTATCATAGCAATACTACTTGAAGAGCAGTAAAGCGGTGAACTACTTAGAGAATCAGTCAGTTTTATTGGCGGTATATATCGTATAGATCAAACGATATGTATATCGTTAGAAGCGATATAACTACAGTAACAGCATGATTCTTCACTTTGATACTTTTGAGACAAAGAATAAAAAAAAAAAAAAGTTAACTAACGATGAACAACAACAATCAAGACAATAAGAAGAATAATGACAATAAGAAAAAAGATAAAAAGAAGAATAATAATTATACAAATTGTTCGAGTATTGAATTTAAAATTAGAAGAATTATTAATTTTTAAAGATCTTGTTGTTTGTTGTTGACAACATGGAAAATAAGAACGAAATGATTTTTTTTCTTGAATTTCTTCATGATTAGAATTAATTGATGATAATGTTTGAATTGATGGTGATGATGATGATAATAATTCAGGTGTTGATGATATTCTAATAGGTGTTTTTCTTTGAGTAGTTATTGAATCAATTTCATTTAATGAATTTTCATTTGGTATTATTATTCTTGGTGGAGAAGGTCGGATAATTGTTGGGCGAACAAGTGATGGTCGAATGAACTATAATATTAACAAAAAAAATTTATTTCACTTTATTCAATAAACTACTTTTAACTAATATTTTATATTATTGTATAATAAATTAAAAATCTTACTGGTAAATTAACATTTGATGAAAGTATAGGTCGAATAATAGTAGCTGGTCGATTTAAATATAGATTATTTGGTGTTGAATATTGAATAGGTTTAAATAAAAATAATGGTTGTACTTGTGGACCATTCCGGCTCAAAAAAGCTGTTGGCTTAGTAATCTGTGCCGTTTTTCTTTTTTTCTTATTGAAAATATAAAACTTGTATTCAATATTTATGACATATCCTACTGTGCACAATTCTGAATACAATCAAATCAAAAAACAAAACCATAGTCTTAGTAACGGCTAATATTCTTTCAATTTTTTCTTTTTTTATAGTTAAAAAGAAATATTTATTGTCTGTTTAGATTTTCTATGTATTTGTTGATACAAATATTTTAAATTGATGTAAGTTGTTGAAGATTTTTCATACATTTATTTTTTCAATTATACAAAAAAAAAAGAACTATGATTATCTATATTTGATATATTTTATAAAAATAACTAATAATATGATCATAGAAAATTGTATAATAAACACTTGTTTTTTTTTATTTCGTATTATTACGAAAGAAAATGTTTTCGTATTGGTCCTCTTGATGTATTAAATGAATTTTGTCTTGATAAACGAGGTTGAAAAAATATTTGAAATGTTTTTATACGAATTATTGAACTTGTCATTAATAAAATAGGAAAATGTGAACAATGATGAATCATTTCTAATAAATCTAATATAAGTGCTAAATTATTTGTTGGTATATGTTGACCATGTAATGTTGCCCAAACACCTAATATTCCAATAGGTGATGTTAAAAAAATAAATGTTAAACTTGAAAGAAACATATAAAGTATAACACTTCGTTCTCTCCAATCATAAGTTTTTGATCGACCTAAACGATGTTGACGTTGATAAGCACGACGACGTAAACCAATTATTAAACTTATATTTATTGATATAATAAATATAGGTAATATTAAATTATTTAAACCAATATTTTCAATAAATAATAAATTCATTAATGAAAATTTATAACCATATACATTATAATATGCATTATTACATGAAAATAATATTAATTGATTAAATAATTTAAAAAAACAATATGATACATCATATGGAAAAAAAAGAAATGGATGATCATAAATAATAACAAATAAAACAATCATGATAGTTATTATATATGCATGTCGTCGAGTTATTAAACAACGACGATCTATTGTCCATACTTTTAAATTACGTTCAATACCTAGAAAAATTTAAATATAGTATATGAAGATATTTATCAATGACGTTCGAATATTTATAATCAATTTATTTGTTTTTGCAAAAGCTATTTCATTATGAAAATTGAAAATTGGACTCTCAAAGAACGGAAAGATTAGTTAAAGCCGAGCCCTGTCCGAGGGTCTCAGAATGTGTGTGTGTGTGAGAAGGATTCCGAGGCAGCTAAAGTTGCGGATCGCAAAATTTCTTTTTGTATCAGATCGAAAATGATTCTTTTTCTTTCAATCTAAAATATAACAATTTTTTGTAATCTTCTTAAAAAATTCGACTTTTTCTGACAAATTGTCAAGAAGAGAGAATCTGTGTCCAATATAAGAAAAACTCCTCAATACTTTTGTCACTGAAGATAATTACACTGGTATAGGCTGTTTGATAGGAAAAATTGACTCAAGTAGGAAGTTTTTCTAAGTTAACTGCGGCTATGCAATTGTTGTTTTTCGACCCATGAAAAAGTCTTCTTTTTCTTATGTTTTTTTGGAAGGAAAAAGTATTGCAATAGCTGTTAGCGATCTTGCCACTGAAGGCGACTACGTTAGTGACGACTGTTTGAAAATGGAGTTCTTCAGAAGGAAAGCAAAATATCATAAAAAAGTAGGAAAATAACAGATATTTTTAGGTCAATCACCTTCATGTAATTATTTGTTCGTCAAGAGAAAAATTTTAATATCTCTTCAGAACTTTTTAGCAAAAGTCATCATTTAAGCCTGAATAATAGAGTAAAAAAACCAACTGATTTCTTCAATTTGCCATCTAACTTGATGCTTTCCATCGACGCCACAACGACAGTTCTCGATGATTGGTTAAGGATCAACTTCCGATTCTCCTCTTCACCTGGGACATCCGTTGATGATATTTGCAAAAATCTTTCAAAGGAGTACTTTAAAAATTCCCCAGAAATTTATCGATTTCTCTAGCTGACTATGAATAATTTTAAATTATTGAGAAGGAGATGTACATGCCTCTACACTCCTCCACTTTTACGAAGCCTGGTTAAAGCAAAATATGGGTAGGGAGATTGAACAAATGCAATTTTTATTTCGATACCCTTTATGAGTGATCTCTTTCATAAATTTTAATGATGAATTTTTGATTATTTCCTTACGATCTTCCTGTCGTATCGTAAATGTAAAACATTGAAGCATATTTTTAGAATTCAGATATAAATTAATCTGACGAACTATGGATATGCATAGATTAGTTTATACTTATCATCAAAACAGTAATCTTTTCAGAAAGAAAATTCTACAGATGAAGAAAAAGTTTCATGAATCAAAATTAAGCATTCGATATATCTCAAATACTTGTGTAATTGTTTTTTAGTATATATTCAATTTTCTTGATTATTCTTCTATTCCTTTTTTCTTCTTCTTATATACTTTCAATGATCAAAAGTCTCACAAATTATGTTATATCTGCAACCGAAGTATTGCCAATTCATCAATTTTAGAATATCTAAATATATGATAAAGAGTTTCTATTTACCTAAAGCACAAAGAAATGCATAAGATGTATTTTCACTAGTCATTGTTAAAAACCATGTTATTGAACAAACAAAATATGGATGTTGAATATAAAAATATAATATATGTAAAAAATATTCAGCTGTTAATTTAATAATATCAGCTATTGATAAAGCAATTATAAATACTGCATATGGTGTATGAAAAAGTGATTTTGCACGACAAAAAAGTAAACATAAACAAAAATTAAGTACAATACCAATTATTGTAAATAAACAACCAGAAATAAAAAATGATAAAATTACATTTGAATTAGCATTTACATGGCATGATGAATTCATTATATAAATTAAGATTGTACTTTAGAATGTGTCTATAAAAAAAAAAAAAGAAGATTTTTATTTATATATACATATATGAAAGATGAAAACATGTCGTAGTTTTTTTTTTTTTCTTCTTTGTCTCTACTAAGACAGACAAACAATCGGATGTTAGACTAGCACTCAGACTTAGTTTTATATTGTCTATTAAGTTCATTAATATCAATAAACATTTACAAATGCTAATGTTGTTGATGATATAATCATTATTAAACTAAAATCTTTTGTTCAGAACAAAAAAAAAAAAACAGAAAAAGAAAAATCAACAATTCTATATATTTATATTTTCTTTTTTATTTATTTATTTATTTGAATTAGTATTCAGTGATAGATATTTGTCAATAGAATTTATGATTATTAAAACAGGAAGAAATAACTGATAAGCATATGCTAGAATATTTCTATTATTTTAATGAATTATGATCGAAAGGAAATGCTTCTAAATGCGCATATTTTTATAATAGATTTATAAGATCATCGTTTCTTTTTTTTTCTTTCTATCAAATCACTTGTAATGTTTTTTAATAGAACTAGCAAAATTGTTGACTATAGTATTTATTACCTAGAATTATTTCTTTTTTTTTTCCAACTGTAAGACGTCTATTGTAATGTAAAACTATCTTAGATAATATAAATTTTACTAAAGTGACTTTCAGTAATTGTCTAAAAGTTCATAGCGAAAGTCACTACCAAAAATTTGTTTTTTTTTCTCACGATTTTAAGTAAAAGATTGATGTTAACAGGACTTAATTTAAGAAAATATTTGTCTTTTTTTTTTCCTATAAAGGAATCAATGAATGACATATGATACTCAACAGAAACGGAAATATTGACCTAACATGATAGTCTCAAGACATCTACAAGATGTCTCTTAAAAGTCACTAGACGGAAAAGAATTTGAATATCTCTTTTATTGTTCTATCAGATAAACTAGCTTTTGTACGAGTGATAGAGAATGTTTTTAAGTTTTTATCTATATGTTTTCGATTTTCTAAAAAAGAAAAAGTATATAGAATTTTATATTTGTTTTTTACATTAGTATGAGTCTGTTTTTCTTCTTTAATAAATACTCATTTGAAATTTCTGAAAAAAAATCTAACACATTTGATTTTAAATCTCGTAGCTGGAAAAACTTTACAGCTACGTCAGTTTATTTTCTATCAAACCTTTTGGTGAAACGAAAAACAAATTGTTTTAAAAACAATATATAAATTACACTTGTTTCAATGATGATAAATGTCACAACGAGAAAAATTTATTGACATCACTAGAAATAAGCAGCTTGAAATCATACTACTAATATTATTTTTGAATTAATCGTAGTATTTATAGAAGCATTATTGTCATACGATAAATTGAACAACAATAATATAATTGTCGAGAGAACCTCTTCAACTATTTCCTTCCGATTTCAATAATTAAGCGATTGTGTTATTTGAACAAAAATGAATTTTTTTTCGTATATTTTCAATCATGAAGAGGCAAATTAATTCTATCAATTCTATTCTAAAGAACTTTGTAATTGTTTATTTTTATTACGATTTATTTAAAATAGCAAAAGTTTATTTAACAAAATAACATAATCAGACAAATATATTTGTTTTTTTATCATGGTTTTAATGAGTTACTTTTATTGTAGAGGAGATATTGTTTGCAAAAAAATTAAAAACTTCAATAGCATTACTGCAGTAGATATTGTATAACTCATGTTATATATTCATATCTTTTCTGTCAATCATATTACGACCTATATTTACTAGGGCAACTAAATAGGTCATAGTTCAAAATAGACCGATGTCAACGAATAAATATAATGAACTTCTTCGTTATCATCGCCCTTTATAATATAGTTACCCGTCAAAAATTTTAATATTTGCTTTACAATTTTCTTCTCAATAATACAATTGTATATTCAATGCTCTTCAAAATCTAGAACATAATCAAATATTTAAATTCTACTCCTTTTTTTTTCTTGTTTAAATAATATTATCGAATGTTCTTATATTCATTATACATATATATTGAGTAGAATTGATAACTTACGTAGTAATTTGTTATTCATCATGATTGAAATATATTTTAACTGTCGCATGATTTACATCACATTAATATTCAGTAGTGTAGAAATCGTTAAATCATTACGAATTTTACATTTCTATTCGAATGTTCAAGTAAAACAATTTATAATTCGACTTTTGAACTATTTAACTATTAAATTTATTAGTCGAATATCCGGGTGTGAATGCGGCTATTTCCATTTGGCAAACGACGCAGTCATGTTTTTCATATAGCACGTCTTATCAACGTCCTAAAGCATTTGATTGATCGAGACAATTAGTCTTTTGTCTGGGTCATATTTTTTCTATTAAATCTTCCATATTTCTGTTCTTCATTAATAATGGTGCCACATATTTCTTCTCGCATGTCAATAAATACGTATCGTCTTCAGAGTATTGATGCTTTTGTATATTGTTTTAAGTTCAGATGGGAAAATACTTGCATACTCACTTTACTTATAACGAACAGTTCGATATATAGTAGACATTCAGAATTACAGATACTGCACTCTAAGAAAAAAAACAAGGATCTTCTCTTTGGTTTCGTAATACAGGAGTTCTGCATCGGATCCTTTTCTGAGTTACTGAAATAAAGATTTCATACCAAAACCATTTGACAAACACATACCGAACATGTTTTATATGCCTTCTTCAAGATAACTCTGTCGCCATCAACACTGCATCTTCTTGCCGGATTTGATCGGATGAGAAAACCGTATTTGTACAGTAACGTCAACTACTCTTTTGTTATATCGGATTTTTCAATTAAAAATAACAGTTGATTTTGTCGATGAATAAACATTGGCCAAGATGAAATTTAAAATTAAATATTTCAATTAAGTCTAGATGCCTTGTATTGACTATATCAGCTGGAAGTAAAACATTATCAAAAAAACAACATTATGCCAACAAAGAGATTGAAAAGATGTATGAATAAATATGTAACTGTGTGTAGGTGTTCATTGAAAATTAAGATCCATAACCGAAACCATCTCAAGACAATTTGCCTGACAAAAGCAAACCATAATAGGTGTTCACAGCCTTTATACAGACATCTACGATGGCTGCTTCTCTTGTACTTTCAACCAATGATTCACCTTGATGATGGTAATTTTATGTACACGTGTCATATTTCTTTCAATGGCCATGAATTAAATATGCGACGCCATAAATAAACGAATGTAAATGCACATTAGCAGAACTTACAGACGAAACCATCAAGGTCGATCTTTCTTCTTCTTTCTCTCTCTTTCATTCTCATCATCAAAGCATGCGAGCAAAAAAGAAAGACCAGAATGCCGTGAGCAGAAAGAGAGAGAAATTAAGTGAGTGTGAAAAATCGAATCGAATGGATTAATATGCTTTTTGTATAAACTTCATCTAAATTTTGTGCACACGCGCATCTCAATTATTTCACGATACACGTCACGCAATCCTTCAGATAAAACGATCGATAATGTTAAGGTTGGAAATGTTTCTGCTCTTGTTGATTATATCAACCATTGGTAAATATCTATTTTCACTCAAATATCTGAATCATGTATCAAACATAATCGTAATATTGACAATTTTAGGAATCAACGGTCGAGCTCTTCGTAAACGACGTGGTATATGGCCAAATATTCTTGCCCCAGGTGGAAATACTTTTGCAACAAGTGGCTACTATGGAATGCAAAACTACATTGCATATCCGGAGAGTGGTATTGCCTATAATCCAAATATTCCAGGTTGGAATCCGTACTGGCAAGGCTATTATCAACAAAATCAATTCAATAATTATAACCGTTCGTGACTAGATTGATATATGCCTCATCTCCTCTTTGTTTTTTTTCTAGCATATGGATACAATCAACCATATTTGTATGGTAGTGGTCAAGGCATACCGTACGGAGGATTAGGAATGAACAGTGGATTTCCTTATAGTAATCCACAACCCTACAATGGATATTATCCAAGCGGAACTGGGAATCAGTGGTATCCGCCTGGTAGCAATTTTGGTGGACTACTGCGCTCAGGTGCAGTCAGATTAAGAAAAGCTAGTAATACCGGTCGAGCAAGTTCAGTCAAACGTACTAATATACTAGCATCACCACCGAAGAATCCAACAAACGAATAAATATTCAATGAATGATCAATGTTAACTAATAATTATTTTTCTACTTGCAACAGTTATCTTGTTTGAATAAACCACTATCAATTTATTCTGGAACTTTGTAATCTAAAGAGACAGTCCATGAGTTAGCGACAGAATTTTACATTTCCAAAATGAAGTCTTCAGGAGATTTGGTGACTCAACCGAGTTTTTGTCATTAGTCGATGCTTGATAAATTGAAAGCTTTTTTCCATGAAAATTTAAACTCGAAAACTTGATCAAAAGTCTACCAAAAGATAGTGCGTGGAAAATGGCATAGAAGACATTTCTATTTGCAATGAATTGTCGAGCTTGGGTGAATCTTTAACGGAAAACAGCGGGTGTAGGACGTGAAATTGGCAAAGAGAGTATTACTCCCCACACTTTAAAGAAGCAAAATTTATTTATTGAAATATGTGGCCCGTAGCTCTCTTATATCTAATGATAAGAAAGCAAATTCTGATTTTGAAAGCTGAACCAACTTAACACTGCTCTCACTAAGTAGATGCATGCATCAATAACGTCTTTATTTTTTCATTTGAAAATGTAGTGTCACGCATACGAATTCTAATCACAAAAGTCGTCTAGTTGTAGGTTGTCTGTACCAAAACCATTGTCGACATCGTTTCGAGAGACAACATACGATGGTGCAAGGAACAAAAAGACTGCACAAGGTGTGCAGATACCAGTCAGATCCATTCAGCTGATATACCTCATCGAGATAAACATATTCACGAAGATTTTCTATAAGCTCTTTCAATTCTGTATATACATCGACAAGTGACGGATATTGATCCCAGAGTTCTCCATGTTCACGATCTGTATTGTCTAGAATAAACACGGCTACATCATTACTGTCAACATAAGGCAAAATATGAGTAGTCGCTAGAGAGACCGATGTGACAATTACAAGAACACGAATATCAAATCTTGTCCATGCTTGGATGCGACTGAGACAGTCTTCATGCTTTGTGTAACATTTGATGGTGAGATTCGGAAACTCTGCTTGTAGCATCGAATGAATAGAATCTATTTCAGCCAAATTCGATCCCAACACGAGAAGACCAACACGATCTTCTGTGGTGGAAGATGGTGAAAATGACTTGGTCGAAATTAATTTGGCCGTTTCGACATCATTAAGCAGTATATCTTCGTCCGTCATCCCGTTAATGTGATAAAGACCACCGTTTAATTGCTTTCAATATCTATCTGAAACATGAATCTCTTTATAGCATTACAAATATCGACAAATGCATAACATGCAAGAAAACTGAAACTCGGACTGATTTTAATGTAACATCTTCAAAGTATGTGGGGACATGAGGGTGAGCTTTCGTTTGGATATGCAAGAATGGGTGTAAGTTTCCATTTTGCCCACACCCAGTCACGGAGAATAGCTGCTATGAAATTTTCGAAAGCACTTGTTTTATGTATAGCATCATATATAATTTACAGCGAGGTCGAACCTGTTCGAATGTCAAAAGTATAAAATTCTGAACGATTTTATTCTACGTTGCAACTCACAAAGTGGATTAATTATTCTTGCTAAAGACGCTTTGTGAAAAATGTGACTATATAGAAATTGATATTTGCTATTCATTTAATACAGAACTTCGGAATATTTTCGTGGTCAGAAGAATAACTACTATGACACGACAATAATACCATAGAGATTGTGGCACTACTTAAGGATAGAAAAACTACTGGATTTTGATTATGCAAAAGTAATTCTAAACAGATTGCACCTTCAAAAAGTGTAAATTTGCTCGTTATGTTCATGCACAATCTTGTATATGCCCACGACTAAAATAACTATGTATTGCATTGACGTTGTTCTATACGTGAGACGAAAATATTATATTACCTATGTATGTATCACGAAATAAATGTTCTCTTCTACATATTCATTCGTATATGTAAAACAGCCAATGATAATATATTGAAAAGATATTTGTTGTCATACAAATATTATTTTTGTCTTGCTTATTCTACCACATATTAATCGAATAGCTTAATCGACGACAAGAGACAGCGAAGCGTATGTTTGTAAAAATATGCACAATATCACGGTTTCACTTGGTTTTTTCCAACCGCTGCACAGGATTGACAAAATATCAAATATTTTATAGACATGTAATGGAAGTTAGCCCTGTGTGGAATTTACACAATAGGAAATTCGCCATTGGAATTTTGACGATGTACAAATTTTAGTGGATGTTGGACAATCTTGTTCATTTTTCACAATTATTGAGACTCTTTAAGAATGACGACAATATCAGTTCTTGTTGGATATTTTATTGTCCAAATGCCATTGGAATTCAGACAATATATGCCACTGCTACAACTATTGCATTTTATTGAAACACAAATCCCTTTATTTCTAGGTTAATAAAAAAACCCAAAGAAATACTTTGTTAGTATACTCAGTATCGCATGGCAATCTTTGTTTTTTGCTTAGTAGCACAAAAAAGCAAACAAAGAAAACCCACATAGCTGGTGAAGAAATAAGCTTAACATGAGAAATTGAATGAAGAAAACAAAATACTAGAAAGAAAGTATTCTCAACATAACGTATCTTTCTCGAACAAAATCAAAATTGACGCACAATACAAAAAGAAAGACATGCAAGTTCAAGAGAACTTTAACTAATCAACATTGCCATTATCAACAGCATTATTCGTGACAGTTGGAGTCCATTTTATATTATTCTTTTCCATATGTTCAACTGACGTTGAATCACCAACGAGATACGATAAACTTGTCAAATATTGTTTTAAACTAATTGTATCAGTTTCATACAAACGAGATAAGTTTTGGATTTGTTTTGTTTTTTGTCGTACACATTGACTGTCAAGTAAAAATCGTTTGGTTTTATGGCGATGATCACCAAGTCGCACTTGTATAGCTCTCATCGTTACTAATGATTCTTTACCTTTAAGAAGTCATATAAAACTGCATAATTCTGTATGAATACCAAATTAATGTTGATGTCGACTATTATATATGCTAAAATAGTATTAGAAACAATACATGTAATATATTATTATTTGAAAAAAAACTTCTCATTCCATTCAAAGCTGAACTCTGATAGTTATCTAAAACCTTCAACACCATTTTTAGACCGATGATGAATCGGTCTAAAATTCGAATGGTTTGCTGGTACACATGTGATCTTTTGCCTTTTGAAATATTGAGTAAACTCCACCAATAAACTATTTGATCATCGTGTATTATCCATTAATAATCTTATTTCAGCACACAGTGCATCATGTTTTACAAATGAGAAGATCATAAAACTTTCTAACTGCGTAATTACATCTTGATCGTTTTTATACATAGATGTTAATTCAATTTTTTGTATACCACGATAGAAAAAGTGTGTCAGCGAAGAAATGACCCACATTATCGCTTAGAATATCATCCTTAAGAAAACAAACCATTTTTCGAAAAAAAATTTTTGTCACGAAATATCTCTTTCTCGTACATTATTCGTCCATGTTTCACGCATCAATTGCGAATATCACGTTAATTTTTCTCTAGGATATTATTTTAAGGACAAAAACAGAAATTTAGAGTTAAAAGCGGGGAATTTTTTGAAATTCATAAGTTAATTCACATTCACTGGTGCTATTCGGCATCGTAACCAACGGTAGATTCCATATATAGGAATATTCACTGAAAGCTTGAGCTGAATTTAATTGGCGCTGTTTGTAACATTTAGAAAAACGAGGAAGCCAATTTTCCGGAACATTTTTGGCATAAAAGTTAAAATGTTTTTTTTCAAATGATGCCTTCTTCACAAAAATTTCAATTTTCGAGAAACTCGTAATACTAGCTGTATTTCGTGATGCGAAGTGGAGCTATTGCCAATGATGAATCAGATGCAGATGAATAATTCGTGCAAGTTTGTGATCAATTAGATAAAAATTGTTTTGGGAGTTTACAAAATACGAAAAGACTAGTTTTCAGAATCTCTTTGAGTCCAAAAGTTGAGCTTTCTTTTTTGAAAAGCCCTATCTGTTATATATCATTCGGTGCAGCTCGGCTAGGTACTTTCAAATGTCGCTTTGGTTTCGCGCCAAAATGCCTCTGTATACGCAAAACTAACGATTCTGCAGCAGAAGTTTGTTTTTTTAGGAAACCACTAACTCTAGTTTTGTTCATGGGTACGACACGGCGCTATGATCAACACTAAATTACATATACGAGAATAATTGGTGAAAATGTGAGCTTAATCGGATTAGAATTCTTTTGGTGGTTCCCAAAATACCGTATGATCGATTAATCGACCTAATTTCAGCCCCGTAATCCATTTTTTTTAAACTCCAATTTCAATTCGCTCGAAATAGGTTTTTCAGATAATGAAGCTTAAATGACAATCATTTGTTTCAGATAGTTTTCACTTTAAACTGCTTCGATAATTTGATCATGGGAACGATTTCCGTATAATCACTAATTTATGAATAAATTTTCTTTTGCCATGTCCTTTCCAAGAGTTTGACTTGATTTCTGATGTTCTCATTTCTATTAATCCACATTTACACACACCCACATCGACACCCTCCATTCAATGTGAGTATGAGTCTGCACTATCGTTGAAATATCAGAAAAATGAATATTGCTTGAGAGAATCAAATCTGATTTTATACCGTTTATTCATCATTGTGACCTATAACAGCTTCATTTTATATTCACTCACCATGTCAAGATAACTTAAGCAGATAAAACTTTGAAGGATTTTGTTTCGATACCAAGCAGATACTGACATTCATCAACATCAGTTTTTCATTGTCTCGATAAAATTTGAGCAAATATATTAGTGATAGAATTCGTATATTCTTACTAAACCGTTAGAGATTTGTATGTCACAGCAACCTTTTTGAGTGCATTAAGCTAGTTATTGTGTATAAAAAATTCAACTGCAAGTTGATGAGTAATATTTTTTAAAAGAAATTATTGAACATTCATTATCGCAAACATCGAAGACAACAAAAAATTAAATCGCAGCAGTCTAAACAACATTTACACCAATCAAGACACGTCTGACAAGAGTCCTTTGAAGAAGTTGTAGTCTTCGTAGTTGTTTGATCTTTGTTATCGTTGTCTGTTGCCACTACATCAGAGACACGATTTTCGCTTGTACGCAAATCACTGAACGGTTGTTCGGTAGTTGTAGTATTCATTGTATTCGAAGTATTTTATGTCCCAAATCAAGAGCCGAAAGAAATTCGAAATGAATAGATTCTATAGTCGCAAAGAATGCATCAAGTGTCACAATTCTCCAAATTTTGCATCCTTTTATACAAAGGAAAGTGAAGTGTGCGCATGCAAAAGAAAATGGTAATCGTAGTAAACTAAACAGAAACAAGCATACGAACTCCAATGTACATTTTTTTTGCACTGAAAGAGAGAAAGAATTGCACATGCGAGCTTTTTTTCTTACATAGTGCATAACGACCTACACCATACTATAACACATACACTCTAATGAAACATACAATCATTTCTTCTGGTTTTGTTTCTTTCCTGTCGTCAATTCCCATATAGAAAAGAAAGAGTGAGATGAAACCAATTGGTCTGTCATTTCGATCACCTGGAATTGAAATGAATTACCTTATATGTTCTGGAATCATTCAATTCGATTCGTTTAAGTTTTAGCCATTGCTTTACTCATGAATTCTGCTGAAGAAGTCGATATTCAAAAGAACTAACCAATATTAATAAATAAAAACAAGTTGGACAATAATTTATGTTCATTTTCGGAAAAAAAACTGACATAATTATTGCATGTATGATGTGACGATTGACTTTAGTCGTTGGTTACTTGAGCTAATGCGCTGTTTATGAATGCAAATTGGGAAAGTGTGACATATAGTTGGAATGGATATGCAGCTGGGCAAAATAGTGAGATTTTTGTTGCCTTCAATGCCAATGGTCAACAGATGCCGATGAGTGTCCCATTCGATCAATATTTTCAGTTGAATTCAGTTGTTTTAGCTGCTGCATGAAGAAAAAATTTGATGTTGACGATACAAGGCAGAAGAGAAAATGCCCTTATCTATCAGACAGTCGTACAATTACAAGTTACATCTAAAACAACTTTGTATATATTAAAATGGTTTGATACAGATCAAGTAATATTTAGTTCAGCAGGTGGTACATTGTATCCAGATCTGAACGGTGATGGAACACAATTCATTTTGGATGACATTGACATACCCAATTTAAAATGAAACCAAAACAAATCTCTATTGAACATCTCTTTTATTTTTATTTTTTCGCGAAAGAAAACTATTATGAGTTAATACCATCAAAAGAAATATTGCAATATCTTTGCTTTTTCTTTTATATTTATTCTAGATCCTTTTAGTAGTTATGTATTTTATCAATACTAAATTCACCTACATCGAATATTCTGAGAAGTATGATGATATCGATATCAATGTGTCACTAATAGCTTCATTTTTTTCTTTTTTTTTTTATAAATGTTGCTACCGAGAGAAAGGTGGTAAGCTACTTCTCCAGTTTGTTCTCACAACAAGCACATTAGTTATGTGTAGTTTTGCGCAAGGATAACAATGGTTCAAACTATATCGAAGTAAAGGAAAATAAAATCTTTGCTCTATCATTTCAAGTCGATTATCGTATAAAAATAATCAAAAAGGAATAAAAATATATCTTATAAAATTAAGAAAATGTCGTAAAAAATGTGCTTGATTCTTTTCTGCAACTTTTAGTGGTAAAACATGGTTGAGTGTGTGTTAGTAGGAAAAAGAACTCTTCTACCACCTCATTATTCGAATAGATGTTTCTCTAACCCAATCCAACATGATAAAAAGATATTCAACATGTAAAAGTATGTTGTGTCATCGTGGTTTACGAATAGAATAGTCGAAATGAGATGTAAGATCATCTAATATTTTGTTGATAGATATCGAATTGCTTAATCTTGAAAAAATTATGCAAACAGAGTTGTTTGAAGTTCATGTTGATTGAGGGTTGTAGGTCTTAAATAAGCTAGTCTATCACATTCCTTAGAAATGAAATTCTATACATTTTATCACGAATTTTAGATGCTTCTTTGAGTTTTGATGACTACTGATCAGACTTGTGAGCTGACTTTATTTACTATTGTTTACAGAGATGCACACTGTTAGTCTTTTTCTAATGGTGAAGATTGCGAGTTAATAGCTGTTCCCGTTGGAGAATTATTCGAAAAACAACAACCCTTCTTTTATTTTGCAAAAAAAATTTTCTAATTTATTATTATTTGAGAAATTCACATTGTAGTTTTACATTCTATCAAATCAAATATCAAAACCAAAAACCAAGAACGGCATTTCAAAGTGGTACGATAGCAAAAAAAGAGTTATAGAGTAAAGAAAAAGAATAGGAAGAGTCATAAAAAATATATCTAGCTAAAATGTCACTTGACATAATGGGATGACGATGATGATTCAATTTTTCTTGATGCCATATTTTTAGTGACAACATTGGATAGCCCATTGAAAATTTCATTACCATTAGTGTTACTATTTCCATAACTTTTGAAGAAGTCTTGCTTATTCAATGAATTACCTTTAAAAAAAGATTCTTTTGATAAAAGAACAACAAGTATTCCATCATCTCTCGTACGAAGTGACTTTACAAATCGATAGTATTTTGTGGTGTTTATGGTTTTGTTTTATCTAAATATGATATTCCTCATCACCAACAATAGTTTTCCTTTGTGTGGAAAAAGAAATGAAACTGTTTAATTTGATGCTTATCAAAGAAGTGAGAATTAAGAGTAGATGAATGCAAATTACATATATATATATTCAGCACTTCATCAATGAACATGGATAACAAAATGAGTCACCAAAAAAAGCCTTCATTCTCACAAGCAACCCGTTATCAATCTTTGAACACA